GTCGCAAATTGAAACGGAGATGATCGGAAACGCGGAAAACCGTGACCGCAAGATCGGTGATGCGGAAACCGGGTACGTATACCGCAATTGCCGATACATACAGCCGCGTCGTCAGCACACGCAGTGTCATAGAATTCCCTTCGAAACGTGAACGTCGCCGGTGCGATCAGCCATGCCGACACAACGCAATCGGTATCGCATGCAAGATGCACCTTTATGCGTGTATGTGTTGCCTGCAATATGCACGGAAGCGAAATGCACGCGTGACGAACCACGTAATCGCGCCCTTATCGAATCCGTCACGGTCGTCGCAGAAAGCGAGATCTTCTCGCCCCCGACGATCCCAGCCTAACCCAACCCCGAGATTACGAGGTGCACAATGTAACGAATTAATGCGGGATAAGTGGCGAAAAAGAGCCTTCGATTACGTCGCTAACTCGCGCTGTGTGACCGCGTTACGATCACCGGGCTTAGTAAAATTACTTTTTATTTGCATGACAATTGTTTGAACAGTCTGTTGGTGGATGACGTTACCTTTTATTTCCGATCCGTTAGGTAATTCGAGTATTCGTATGAATATAATATTTGTCACAATCTAAATATTCACTAAGATATAATTCAAGCGTAATTTAATATTCAAGTACAAGATAGAAAATCGTTACTTTTCATAATTGCATGTATATCGCCAACGGCGAAGAGATTTAATTAATGTCTATTTAGCGCTGAATACTCACATTTACTTTCCGGTCCGGAAATAAGCCCGAAAGTCGTCGTCTAAAATGAGATAATGGCGAATTTATAATATCGTGCTACAGTACAATATCAGATGATAAACTACACTTTCGTTTCTTAAATAAATGTTCTCATACCGATCGTATGCGCGTGACCTAAGTGACACCAAGAAGTAGCCAGAGAAATTTTCCCGATGAGAAATTAGTCGAGAATAGGCCGATTGAGAGATGAATCCAATTATCATTCGTTAGTATTTCACTGTACAAAGTCTCCCTTGAATTGACGAACTCACTCGATCGAGATTTCCAATACATACTGAAAGCGAGAAACTCTTTACTCTGACGACCTATCGCGACTTCTTATAATTCGTACTGTCGACAGGCAAGGTAGAGGGAATCTTGTCAACAAATTCAGGCTCGGACAAACGTCGTAACGAATGCCTCTAATGGTCGTGTATACAGTCGACGATATGGGCTCGATGAATTGGTAATTTGAAATGAACCCTTAAAATTGTAATAAAGACGAGAAAATGCTCGAAACAAATGTATGAAGCAAATAATTGAAAGTTCTTTAATATAAAATGAAATATTAAAAATCTACAAGTCCATTACTTACGCTGCACATTTTGTTGCTTATGGATATTTAGATATTTTTATATAATTTATTATATTATTTATATTATATATTATATATTTCTTTATTATTATAGACTAAAAAATATTTAATTTCTTTTATCCAGAAAAACCTATGGATAATGCAGTGTTTTGGAAAAATGTAACAGACTATATTTTCTGCTTTTCAGTTTGCAGACGGTCGCTCAAATTCCTGAGACAAAAAATTCGGATGGCAAAACAACTCGCGGTTCGTCTTAAAACAGCGATACATCGTAAAAGCATCTACGCAGAACTATCTACAAAAACGATAAGATCGATCCAAATTTCTCTCACGAAACATGATCGAAGATAATGTATAGAGCAAGATAAATCGGGATGGTGAGAGATCGACGTTATGATACTGCGCTTCAAGATTTTCCGACTTTGAAAGACAGCACGACAAGTTGATATCTGATAACAAAGGTAAAAGCTAGTTTATTTTTTCTGCGGTAAAATGTTTCAAAGCTTTCCACGGAGAAGATTAGTGATTGCAAGTTTTTAAAATCTCTCGAATATACAAATTTTTTCTTTTATCATATATGAAGTATTTCTAATATACAAACTTTGATAAAAATTAAATCGAAGAAGAATGTTAAAAATGCACAAAAATCATGAAACTTTTATATACACGAAGAAAGAATTGAATCTCGAAAAAGTCACGTACTCTGTACAAAATGAATAATCTGTGTTAACATAATTTTAAGTTGTACCCATGTTTTTTTAAAATAAAAATATTTAACAAGTCAGGAATACTTTTAATTTTTTCAACTGTATATTTTTTTATTGATAACTTTCAATTCATTGATATATAATAATTGCATATTGTAGTTGATCTATTATTTATCGTTATTATCAATTAATTGTACGTTACAACAAAGCGATAATGAAAAAGACCAATTAAATAAAAAATTATATGAATAATTTGCAGTTGACAAACTTGAAGAACGCGGAGTGCTCTTCGAGCAGAGTTGAAGATAAATAAAAGAAGAAAGGGAGGAGCTCGCGAGAATGGTAACGTAAAGAGACGAGCGCCAGTCGCAAAATCGGGGAAGAAAGTAGAAAATTGTGAGGCTGAACGATGGGAATAAGTTCGACGGAGACGACGGCAATGGTCGTTTCCGATTATTACGATGCTGGTAGATTCAGCTTGCAGAACTTCAGCAACAGCAGCAACAGCGGACTGCTCGAATGCGGTCAGCAGACCAATACCAATGGCCTGCCCGACTTCATTATTTATGGTATATTTGTCAACCTGATTGGCCTCTTCGGGATTTTCGGAAATGCGATATCGATGATCATCCTATCGCGCCCGCAAATGAAATCGTCCATTAATTATCTGCTGATTGGACTTGCCAGATGTGACACAGTGCTCATCATCATTGCAGTAAGTTTCTTTTAACATTTACATTTTGTATTTTTTACGCGAAAAGAAAAATAGATATATTTAATTAAATTTTAGAGAAAAAAAGAAGTACACTCAAAACATGAATTGCGCAAAAGCGCGATTTGAAAAGCTGAGAATAAATAAAGTATAATCTTTAAAGAACTAATGAATGGTTAATGAATGTGCGGAAAATTGTGATTTGCTTATGCAACGTTTTATTTCTTGGCACAGTTTAAAGAAATTGGAAATTACGTAATGGAAAACATGCTTGATACTTCATTTAACTTCGTAAACATTTTTATGAATTCGCTTTAATGCAGAGTTAAATTTTATATGGTAAAATTATTGTGCATGTTTGTGAAATGCCGCGGAATATAGCGTTTACCGTAAAAGAAACAATCAAAGTTAACAGCCACTTGAGTAAGCGAGCCACTTTTCACCCTTATTATAAAGAAATAATATGAAAAAATTTTTATTGTAATAAAAATTAATATTAGCTTTAACATCTTTTAAAGAATATTTTATTCTTTAATAAAATAGTAGATTTTAAAC